AGGATCATGAGTTTAGGCCTACCTAAGATACACACTAAGACCCTGTCTTAAAAACAAAACAAACAAACAAACAAAAAAAAACACTGGGTGCTGGTGGTTCACACCTGTAATCCTAGTTACTTAGAAGGCAAAATCAGGAAGATCCAAAGCCAGCCCCAAACAAATAGTTTGAAAGACCCTATCTTGAAAATACCCAACACAAAAAAGGGTTAGTAGAGTGGCTCAAGCAGTAGAACATCTGCCTAGCAAGCATGAGGCCCTAAGTTTAAATCCCAGTACCACCAAAAAATTCCCACAAAACAAAAAGCTGGGTGCTGATGGCTCATGCCTATAATCCTAGCTATGTGCATGGTAGTTAATGAACAATGTAGTGTCCGTGTTTTGTCTTAAGAACAGTAGAGGTCTCAATGAAGTAAATCAATTTTGTCCATATAATAGAAATGTACTAGCTGGGTGCTGGTGGCTCACACCTGTAATCCTAGCTACTCAGGAGGCAGAGATCAGGAGGATCACAGTTCAAAGCCAACCCAGGCAAATAGTTCTTGAGACCCTATCTTGAAAAGACCCATCACATAAAAGGGCTGGTGGAGTGGCTCAAGGTGGACGCCCTGAGTTCAGAACCACAAAAAAAAAAAAAAAAGGTACTTAACGCTCATTAGTTTCACTCTCTAGTCTCAAGTCTAGGATTTATCTAGGGAAAAAAAGCAGTGTAAATTGGTGTAATGTCTAAGGTCACAGGACATAATTAAATGGAAAAATAACAAACTATCATAAAAAGTCACAGACTGGAATATAAATGATTAAATCTTTGCCTAAAAGTCATCCTTCAATGCTGATTCCTGCTAGATATTTGAATACTGGTAGTCTTAGAAGAGTCTGGATTTTTGAGAAAACATGGATCAAATGTGATTCAAAACAGATTAAAAGCTTTCACAGGTGACAACAGGAATCATTTTATAAAAATTATATAAAACCCTGAAAATCTTTAACAATATGTAGGAATGAACACAATGAAAACAATTCCAGAAATGGATGCTTTAACTTAAAAGCAAATAGAATTAGAGGGAGCTAGTCTTTAGCTAACTGAAAGATCATTTTTAAAAAGAGGGAATATTGGGCCTAGAGGTGTAGTTCAGTGGGAAAGCACCAGCTTAGCATGTGTAAGACCCTGGGTTCTACCCCTACATTTAAAATTAAAAAAAAAAAAAAAAATTGTAAAACTGAAGGAATTGTGGTGTTTTCAAGTAAGGGCTTTTTTAGCTAGTTTAATTACTTTACCTAGTATAATTTCTTGAAGGGTGTCCCAACACTTTAGGAAAATTCTGGGAAAAGTTTGGGTTACCAAAGGATGACCTGTGGAAACACTGAGGAGTGTGGGTCTCCCTTGCCCCTAGTGACTCATGCTAACATTCACAACAAACTCATGGGTATACCCACATCTGAATGTTGCTCACTATGAAGAGGACAATGTTTTTATACTTTTCAAAGCTTATGCTCTTCGCTAAACATTAAAAAAAAAAAAAACCATGACTCCTTAGTTAGAAATATACCTTTTCTTTTATTCTTCCTGCCATTAATCTAACCACCTAAAACTATTTATTGGTTACCTGCTGTGGCAGGTTTATTAACAATGTCAGAAAGCAGGGTATCTCTGAAATTGGCTGCTTACAGGGCAATGGTAATTAAGAATGACTGAAGTTCTATATAACGGCTTGAAGTAACAAGAATTTTCCCAAGTTGTTCTACAGAATGCCCAACTCTAGCACTAGTGAGAAAGAAAAAGGGCAGCATTTCAGCACAGAAATGGAATCAGCCCATTCACCTTGTTAAACATAAAAGATTTCAGCAGCTTTATCCTCTCTTCCTTTTCCCCATTCAGTAGCAGAACACTTGGTTACCACTATTTCTACCAAAGCATTTGCTATTCCAATCAAAGCATTTGCTATGATTCTGATATATAGGTCAACTACACCTAAAACACAGCCACTGTTCAGGATACCATTTTTACTGAAGAGTATAAGCAACGGCCTCTCATCAAAAAGAAGTGTAAGGTTAATCTAAAAACCCCTGATCCTTTACAGAAGACTTGCACTTTTGGTGTCCCAGCAGTGGATGCCACCCCAACAAAATCTAGATTGAAAGATAAATAGTCCAGTCTTTAACTGGTAGACTCTGCTGCCTCCCTGCAATGACATGGTTTGGTTTTTCCTAAAGAATATCTAGAACCATCTAACTTGCTTTCACGCAGCAATGCTTTAAAGGATCCATGGACTCTACCACATCAGACAAAATTGCTTCCTGAGGGGACAGAGAAGAGTTACCAACATAATACTTTTACTGATGACCAACCCTGAAATTTAGAAAATGAGTTTAGAATTACAGTTGTCTTGTTAGCAGTCTTAAACCTTCACTTTCTCCAAATTAACTCCTCTTCCCAGACAAGATGTTTTAATAATCACCTTAATTACATAAATTAGAAAAGAAAGAAAAATGGTTCAGATGCTGTTAGGTTCTGTTTTATTAGCCAAAAAAAAATGACTCCTAACAGGGGACAGAAAGGCTGGTGGAGTGACTCAAGTGGTAGAGCGCCTGCCTCGAAAGCATGAGGCCCGAGTTTAAACCTCAGTACGGCAAAAAAAAAGAACCTCTACATTCAACTAACAGGGGACAGATAGGACAAGATGTTCTAGACTCTAAAACAAAGACTTTAGCATGACAGTGATCAACTAATACCATAATTCAGAATGACTTTTTACCTAATACAAAGACAAAACCCTGTATTACTATAGAAGCTACTTACAAATAGATGAATCAAACAGAAAAAAAAATTAATAGATCTAGGGCAAAAGAACAAGGGGTGACATGTTTATATTCACTTAGCAAACTGTAAAGTCAGAGGAATCCAGGATATAGTCAGTGACTCAGGATGGCTCACAGAAGGGCAGGAAAGGACAAGGGTTGTACATTTACATTTACTTTAGCCAGGTAGGTAGGTCTCTCTTAGAGTATGCCAATGTTGAAAGCTAGCCCCCAACAGTGGGCTACTAGAAGGGACAATGGAGATTTCTGTGATCTATTTTCTGTTTGGGACATGGTTTGAAAGAAGTAGAAGAAAAAACAAAACAAAACTCTCTCTATGGAAACAAAAACTATTCCAATTAATATTTAACAAGAATAACAAAAATCAATCGGGCCAGTTAAATCCAGTAACAAACTATTCCATCCATGAACCCTTCCTACATAGATCTAATATGGCTCTAGAAACGGAACCAAAAACATCTTTTTTTTTTTTTTTTTAAAAACAACAAAGGAAACATAAACTTAGGAGTACTAAGTAAGTCTACTATCAGTGGGCATCACATTAACGACCATTCCAGATAAAATTTCTTTTCTACTTATGGACAGGCCAGAGAAAGGCAAAATCAAGGGCTAAGGGCATGGCTCAAATGGCAGAGTGCCTACCTGGCAAGAGCCAGGCCCTGAGTTCAAATCATAGTACTGCAGGAAAAAAAAAAAAAAGGAATCAAATCTGACTTGAATCCTCACACTCAAAAATCTATTCCCAGAGGGTTCTCTACTCATTGCTAAAGGTCATGAGCAGGCTGGTTTCAGGCTAGATTTCATAATACCTGCACTGAGACTGTTCTGCTTTCTTGCAATCTCCTAACCTAAAATGGTCCATAAATACCAGTCACACCTATATGCATGATCTAGTCCCTGCCTATTCTTACCCTTTGCTGGCACTTTACAATTCAGCTACCCAGGCTTCTATCAGTGTCTCAATACACAAACTCTTCTGCTTCTGAGCCCTGATAACTCTTGTTTCTTTTTATCATTTTTTTTTTATGGGACTGGAGTTTGAACTCAGGGCTTCATGCTTGCAAAGCAGGCCCTCTACCACTTAGCCAAACTGCCAGTCCATTTTGCTCTGGTTATGCAGGGTCTGGTGAACTGGTTTGGACTGGCCTCAAACCATGATCCTCCTGATCTCAGCCTCCCAAGAAACTAAGATTACAGGTATGAGCCATCGGTTCTCAGCTCTGTTTCTTTTTGTTTGTTGGTTGGTTTTGGTGGTACTGGGGTTTGAACTCAGGGCCTCATGCCTACTAGGCAGTTGCTCTACCACTTGAGCCACTTCACCAGCCTTCAGCTCTGTTTCTTTAACTGGAAGAGTTTCCTCCATCTGCACTATACACATACTCAAACTCCTATTCATCCTCAAGTCTTAGCTTAAACTTACACTTCCTCACTAGAGACCTTCTCAGCCTAGCTTAGATGTTATGTTTTCTTGGTACCCTCCAACTCTCTTTTGAGGCACTTCATTCAGTTGTAAGTACACTCTTTGCATAGTCATTTAAGTACTGGACTCCCTTAATACTGGACTATAAGCATCCTGAGGACAGAGGCCATGTCTGCCTTGCCCGTTGCTACATTCCTAGTCCCTTAGCTCAGTATCTGGCATGCGACAAGAATGCGACACACATTTTAACGAATAAGTTTTAAAACTATAAACTAAGTAAGTAGAAGACATATGCACTCAAAATCGGCTATAAGCAAGGCTTTAACATGCTACACAATATGGAGTTTGGGCTAAAAAGGAACTATTCAAAATAGATGCAGTCCCAAGCAACCGGGAGGTTACTAAGGATCCTTCACTGACTTCAGCAGTAGAAATAAGGCCTTGAGCTTCAGAGAGTGCAGGCCAGAGAATCCAGTATTTACCTCGGATGCAAACACCATGCTAAATATTTCCAAATCAAGCAAAGTAGGAAAGGGCCTTGCCCTCTGACAGTGAAGTCTACTCAGGTAGTAGAGTGGAAGTGGCATAGTTTTCTTGTTCTTTACTTTGAGAGAATTCTTACCAACAGCTCAACTTGCTCATCCTGGTTTTCCTAGGTACAGTATCCATTCTTATTTTTCACAAGGGTATGAAAGGGAAGCAGCAGGTACTTTGCTTTGCTTTTCCCTCCATTCAGGTTTGGCTCATGTCTCAAACTCACCTGAACAGCTCCTCCTAGCATGACAGCCACCAGTCCCATGGACATGCTCAGTGTCTGTGATTCCACAGTGCTCTCTGCCTCATGTGCCAGGCTTGCACATGCTCTCTGCAGTGTTGCTGCTACAAAGTCCACTACCTACCAAAAGAGGGAAATCACAATCAGTGAAGAGTTAAGAAAAAAAGAAGACACATAAAATATTCTCCATACCTCTTATGCCTACACCTCCTCTTCTTCATCAACATCATGAGAGCAAGAACCATTGAGAAGAACTGCTATCGTGCAGCAGCCATGGTGCCATATGGGTTTTCCAGGTTATTTTCATTTGGTTTTTTAAACTGATCAGATTATTATAAAGGATATTTCAAAGGATACAGATGACAGCCAGATGAACAGATGGACAGGACAAAAGACTTAAAAGGTGTGGTGTGGAGTTTCCATGAAGTAGCTACCCTCCTGGAACCGCCAGGTGTTTAGCAACTCAGAAGCTCCCAAGAGTTTCACATGTACAATCTCACTTGGTTCTCATATCAGCTTTTTGAGGTTGCCACTATTATCCTTATTATGAAATGAAGAATCTGAGACTTGAGCCAGGCATGGTGGCACACACTTGTAATTCCAGCCATCAGGAGACTGAGACTTAAAGCGATTACTTGCTCAAAGCCATAGAGTTAAGGAAGGAAAAAAAGCCTATTTATACTTTCCCAAATACTTTCACATACTAATCCAACTTGTTTTACTTTTTGTGAATTTAAAATGAAAATAATTTATAAATTAACTCAAAATGGATCAGAGACTTCAATGTAAAATGCAAAACTATAAAATTCATAGGAGGTATAGGAGAAAATCTAGATGATTCCGGGTTTGGTGATGACTTTTTAGACACAACCCCAAAGGCACAATCTAGAAAGAAAGATGTGATGAGCTATACTTCATAAAATAGAAACAATTTTACTCTGAGAAAGACACTATCAAAAGGATACAAAGAAAGCCACAGACTGGGAGAAAATATACAGAAAAGACATCTGACAATGGACTACTATTCAAAATATTCAAAGAACTGTTAAAACCCATCAATGAAGAAACAACCAACCTGTTTTACAAATGGGCAAAAGAGCTAACTATATACTTCACCAAGGAAGACATACAGATGGCAAACAGCCATGTGAAAAGATGCTCCACAGTGAATGTCATCAGGGAGAGGCAAAGCCATCAGTGAGATGCCACTGCACACTTACCAGAATGGCCAAAATCCAGAACACTGACTACACCAAACACTAATGAGGATGTGGAGCAACAGGAACTTTCACTCATTGCTAGTGGGAATGCAAACTGATAAAGCCACTTTGGAAGACAGGCAGTTTCTTACAAAAGAAAATAGATTAGCTAGTGTGGTGGCATGTGCCTGTAGTCCTAGCTATTTTGGGAAGTTAAGGCAAGATGAACACTTGAGCCCAGAAGTTTGGGACCAGACTGGGCAACTCAGCAAGACCCCATCTTTCTCCCTTTCCCTTTCTCTCCCCCACCCCCGCCTCCCCACCTCCTCTCCTCTCCTCCCTGTGGTACTGAGGGGTTGAACTTGCTAGGTGGGTGCTCTACTACTTGAGAACCCCATCTCATAAAAAAAATATATTAAGGAGTCTTTACTCCCATTTCTTATACGAAGAACAAGAAATATTTCTCCCTTCCCCTCCCCTACTTCTCCCTGCTTTATCCTATTATACTAAAATAAGTCCTTGTTAAAACTTAATAAAAAATTAACAGATCCAGCATGGTGATGCACACCTGTAATCACAGCACTAGGTTGACTGAGGTAGAAGGATTGTGATTTTGAAGCTAGCCTCAGCTACACAAGACCTTGATGCAACACTACAAAAACAAATCATTTTATTTACTTATTTTACAGTGCTGGGGTTTGAACTCAGGATCTCACACTTGCTAGGCAGGTGTTCTACCACTTGAGCTATGCCCCTGGCCCTAAAAACAGAACCAATTAAATACTCTTACCCCACGAGCCAACCATTGCACTTGGTATTTACCCAAAGGAACTGAAAACTTATGTCCTCAGAAAAACCCACACATGGTTGTTTATGGCAGCTCTAGTCATAATTGCCAAAATGTAGAACTAACAAAGATGTCCTCTGTAAGGTGAGTGGAGAAATAAAGTGGTATGTCAAGACAACGGAGGAATATTTAAAACAATGAGCTATGAAGCCATGAAAAGATATGAGGAAACATAAATGTACATTGTTAGTGAAAGGAGTCCATTTAAAGATGATAGAGTGGCAGGGCATGCTGGCTCACGTTTGTAATCCCAGCTACTTGGGAAGTGGAGATCAGGAAGATCAAGGTTCAAGGTCAGCCTTGGCAGGAAGTTAGGGAGATGCAAAAAGTTAGTGAGACCCCTATCTCAATAAACAAGCTGTGTGTGGTGGTAATTGTAATCCCAGTTACTTAGGAGGCATAGGTAGGAGGATCTCAGTTTGAAGCCTATCTAGAGTTAAAAGACCCTATCTAAAGCAAAAAGGGATGGATGTGTGGCCAAGTGGTAAAGTGCTTGCCTAGCAAGTGCAAGGCTCTGAGTTCAAACCTCAGTACTGCCTAAATAAATAAATGAACAAACAAACAAATACATAAAATGCTACATACTGTATGATTCCAAATATATGACATTTTGGTAAAGACAAAATTTGGAGACCATGGTTGCTAAAGGTTTGGGGAGAGGGATTGCCTAATAGGGCTTTTAGGGCAGTGAAACTATTCTATAGGACACTATAATGGTAGGTAGATGTTATTATACATTTGTTCAAAACCGTAGCCTGTACAATACCCAGAGTGAACCCTAATGTAAATTATGGACTTTGGGTAATAATGATGTGATAATGGAGATTCCTCTGTTGCAACAAAGGGGTCTGGGGATATAGCTCAGCGGTGGGATGCTTGCCAGCACCACAAAAAAGAGAGTAGCAAAGGTATCATTCTAACGGGGGTGGTGATACTGGGGGAAGCTATGCATGTGTAAACAGAAGTGGGCTTATAAGAAACCTCTGTGCCTTCTGCTCAATTTTGTTGTCAACCTAAAACTACTCTAAAAAATAAACTCTAGTGAAAAATGATTTGTTACTCTCTGGCCATCCCAGAGGCTCTCTTCAGGAATTTTCCTCTTCAAGGATTTTTAACCCCACATTTTGACGGTCTAATTCTAGTAAGCAAAGAATGGAGGAGGGGATGTTCAATTTTATCTAGAAACCAGCGTCCTCAAACAATCTGTTCAAATGATCCATTTTTTTTAAGTATCAAATATTTTTACAGGCTCAAGATTGTTCATATTCAAGATCTTCTGTAGCAGTTGGCTAACAACTAATCTTTAAATGGAATTAATTTGGTCAGCATCATTTTAAGTGAGCTTGGCTTAATCACTCTAAGTAGAAACACCTTTCAATAAATGACAGCAGACACACACGCACACACGCACGCATGCATGCACGCACGCACACATGCATATTCAGGATTAATGGCTCAAAAGAGAGATATCATTTTGAAAATGGGAAGGCTGAGATAGGTCATAATAAGCCTCTAAGTACCATGCAAGCTTGCATGTTTAACTCTCTGGACAAATCACATGCTGTGCTAGAATCTTTATTGCAAGCTTAAAGCCATGAGAATGGCCTGTTAACACTTGTCTTCTGGAACAAGGCAGGAAACTGGGGAGATTATTTACTGAAAGGAACATTGCTGGTTACAGCAATTTTCTCTGCCCTCTCCATCCCTAAAGCTTTATTGATACTAGAAATGAAGGACCTGAGAAACTGATTTTTCTAGTATCTGGACCACCTATTTTGCCCCCAATGAGTTTTCTAAAGCACGTCATATCTTGTTCATATTTAGCTTGTATGTCACCACAAGTATTGTTAAATTACTAGACTAGAACTACCTAGCCTTCCAAATTTTTCTAAGTTTCTCTCCATAATACTACATACTAGTACAACCTTATTTTTAAGAAACTTTCTGTGCTTATATGCATATAAACAAAACAAACAAAAATGCTGGGTGTTGTTAACTATGAAGTGATGGCCAGCTGTTATATACTGTCATCTATGAAATATCCTTTCCCCAGACTTCCTTCTTCTAACACCAAAACCCACTTGGATAGCAGCTCCTCCGCCAGCTACCATTTCGTGTGATTTTGGTGGGGCTACCAGCCCCACAGATACATGGGGTTGGGGATGCAGTTCTAGTCCAAGTTGCAGGGAGAAGTAGCTTGCTCCTTTATTTCCTTTCCCTTTCTTTTCAAAAAACCCTGAACAGCTTTATTGAGGTACAGTGGTTTTCTTCTTGACTTCTCTTCATGCATACATTCAGCTTTCCAATTTCTCAGGCTGCTAATCAGCTACTGGTTTCCAGTTTCCAGATTTTGCTGCTCTCTTTTATCTACTATCTCTTCCCTCCTGCCTCTGTGGTTTCTAGAGGGAGCACAACAATGCAAGTTTTCCATACACTGTTTCTAACCAGAAGACCCTACCTTTTCATATCTCGTACTTCCATGTGATGTTTTTACAGTGAGCATGTGTTACTTATACCACACACACACAAAAATTAACATCTGAAAAAGAAATAAACACCACAAAAAACCACTTCTACTCTGCTGATTATAGTAATCCAGTTACAGCAGGGTGCAAAGTGTGGCAGGCTTCTGAAAGGACAGAGAAAAGGGAATCCTGTTCACTCAACTGCATTACTGATCCTGCCACAACTTTGGCTTTGCTCACTCTCTCTGGTATATCCTTCCTCTATGCATCTCAATAGCTCGCTCCTTCCCTTGTTTTCAGGTCTTAGCTCAAAAGTCACTGCCTCAGGTGGGGCACAGAGCTCACATTTGTAATCCCAGCTACTTGGGAGGCAGAGATCAAGATTATGGTTCAAGGGCAGCCCAAACAAAAAGTTATCAAGGCCACATCTCAAAAAAACAAGCCAAGCATAGTGGCACATACATGTCATCTCAGCTGCAGGAGAGGTCCTACTTAGAAAGATAGTGGTCCAAGGCCAGCCCCAGGCAAAAAGCGAGACCTACCTGAAAAATAACTAAAGCAAAAAGGGCAATGGACATGGCTCAAGTGGTAGAGCACCTGCCTAGCAAGCATAAGGATCTGAGCTCAAACCCCAGTACTGCCATAACAAGAGAAAGAGAAAGCTACTGCCTCAGTGTGGCTCTCCGTGACTATGTATTTACCACCGTCCTCTTACCATCCCTCTTCCTTGTTTTATTTTTCTCTCTAGAAATTATTGCTATCTCACACACTACAAGTTTTTGCCTTTTTTTTTTTTTTAACTGGAGTTTGAACTCAGGGACTACATACCTTGAGCCACTCCGCCAGTCCTTTTTTGTGAAGGGTATTTTTTGAGATAGGGTCTCTCAAAATATTTGCCTGGGCTGGTGGAACCACGATCCTCCTGATCTTTGCTTCCTGAGTAGCTAGGATTACAGGCATGAACCACCAGAGTGAGATGCTCCTTTCTTGTAGGCGCTGAGGTTTGAACTCAGGGCCTATCTCTTGCTAAGTGGGTGCTCTCAACCTTTGAGCCACTCCACTGGCCCTTGCTTTCTTGTTTGTTGCTTCTTTCCCTCTGCGTGAATGTCAGCTCCACGAGAGCATAGCTATGTCTCTGCTTTGTTCACTGCAATGTCTTTGGTACCTACAAGAGTAAGTAACACATGGCTAGTCACAACACGTAGTTGTAGAATGAAAGAACTTGGGAGTTCTCTGCCCTCATCAGCACACAGGCTATTGCATGCCTCATTCCTCTCCATGCCATCACACTGATAATGTGACAGCTCCAACACAATCTATTGATTATTTAATCTTTTATCCATCATCGATCTTCCCCATAATATCTTAGCTATTATTCATTTAGCCATACATTCATTTCTAACAGATAGGAGAGTTGTTTTTGATATAGCTACCACAGCATGATTATCCCCCAATAAGAAGTCCTTAACATCTTCTAATACCTGATCCATGAGCGTTGCAAAAACGTCTCACACCACTGGCTTGTTTGAATCAGGATCTAGCTCCTTTTTTAGGACATTTATTTGGATGAAGAAACTGTAGAATTTTCTACATTCTGGATTTGGCTGAATGCTTCCTCATGGCATTACTTAACTCACTCCTCTAATTCTCTGCATTTTCTTGACTGAATTCAGGTTCAAGTTGTTTTTATTTTTTTGGTTACAAATGCTTCTCAAGTGCTACATAATTCCTACTGTATTACCCAAGAAAGAACATAATACCTGCTTGCCCACCTGTGATGATGTTAACATTAGTAAGTCCATGCTGAGACATTTAAGTGCACATAGAAATACCTGCGTCAACACTGAAATGTGCATGAAAAATAAAATGGACAGAGGGATGAAAACATGGATGAATATGTGATAAATCAAATGTGATAAAATATAAAATACTAATGGTAACATCTAGGTAGATAGTGGTAATCACTAGATAATTCTTTCAATAAATAAAGTATTCCCCCATTAATATCCATTAACAAATGTTAAGAAGAATAAAACAGCCAGGCACTGATGGCTCACACCTATAATCCAAGCAATTCCAGAGGCAGAGAACAGGAGGATCACAGTTGGAAGCCAGCCTGATCAAATAGGTTGTAAGACCCTACCTCAAAAATACCCAACACAAGGGCTGAAAGAGTGGCTCAAGTGGCAGAACACCTGCCTGAGTTCAATTCGCAGTACCACCAAAAAAAAAAGTATAATAAATTATAAAGATTCTTTCACATTTGAACATGTTCATAATAATATGTTGCTTTGGTTGTCTGAACTGATACCTTCACTAGGAAGTGCCCCAATGACAGTCCATCTAACTGTTTTGCCAGATATTGATGATTATTATGTAGATCCATTGCTTCATTAGTTTTGCAAAATGTAATGTTCTAGTTCTCTTTTTGAATTTTTTTTTTGCCTGTGACTCTCCTATAAAGAAAAATTTTCTTCATTTGACTATTCAGTTATACTGAAGTCTAGTTACTATAGGAAAGGCAAGACAAATGCTTTGTTCTTTCTCCTGATTTATCAATTTATGGAATAAAGAACAGATACCCTAACAATTTCTGACAATGTCCTATGAGGTTTTCTCACAAATATGTTTATATCACTGATGTGTTTTAACCCAAGGTTGGCATTACTCTCTTTAATTCTGCAATTGTTTTGTCTATTGCAATGGGAGCTCCTTCAAGTTGGCTCCTGAATGCTACTGTCTCATCCCCATTAATTTCAGATTGCTTCCTTGCATTTGGGTACAACAAAGCTGCCTTTGTATCATGTATAACTACTACTCCAGACCTTCATTTCAAAAACCTTTGAGTTCTTTTAAAAGAAAATAGTATTTACAAACTCCAATGTGGCACTAAGGACATTTATTGCTACTGGATTGTCATTGCTTGTTGGTATTGACAGTGGACAACACTAGGAAATACCTGTTCTTTAAAAAGAAATACTGGGCTGGCTGAAGTGGCTCAAGTGATAGATTGCCTGCCTAACAAGCATGAGGTCCTGAGTTGAAACCCCAGTACCAAAAAAAAAAAAAAAAAAAAAAATCATGAGTTCACATTAAGATTTCTAATTAAAATTCAATGTTAGAAGGTTTTTATTCTAGTTATTTGATTTTATAACTTTCTAATGCTAAAAATTTGATTCATAGTGATATCAACTAAATTTCTTACAACTTCTTTATTCATATGTGTGTTTTTCAAATATTATCACTAGCTGTAAGATTACTAAATGCAACTTAGTATTTCCTTGTGGTTCTTTTTGTTCTGATACATTTTAACATCAGCTAAAGGATAATTTAATAGGACAAATAATTTTTGTGCCAGGCTAACGCCATTGTTCCTTAATTAGGAGTGAAGGGAGATAAGTGCAAAAGCTCAAGTCATATCAGTTGCTAAACCATTTCCCCTTCCACCTAGCATCCTGAGACAAAAACATAAGGCCTAGATGAAAAAGCCTTCAGGGAACGGATATAAATACAGGAGAAACAAATCACCCTACCAAGCAACAAGGGGTCAGTGAACTGAAGGAATAAGAGGCCACGAAAAAAATCATGAACATAATTCTCATTAAACAGGCAAGATAAGTCAGAGCTGACAGGCAGCTGCAAATGCTCTCAGCAGGAGCTACAGCAAATGCTGCTTAGCAACACCCAAAGGCAGATGACAATGAGGACCATACAAAGAGCTGGAGAACCAGATTTAAGCATGACAATCAGACCATCTTACAACTGACTATTCACCAGCCAGCAACAGCTAGTTCTAGTAAAGTGGTAAAATAAGGTGACTGTATTGCCTAGGCTTATCACTTTTACTTCCTATTGGTTAAAAAGGTGTTAAAAAATAATGCCTGAGGCAATAAAATTCAGGTATTGATTGCATAGGTATACTATCCTAAAAGCATTTTTTAAAAACATCTGCAAAACTCACAGGATACTGTGGAGATAGGCTGTTAAGTTAGAGGACCTATAAAGTCAAAGTGAGGACTGAGGTGTGGCTCAAGTAATAGTGTGCCTGCCTAGCGAGAGTTCAAACCCTAGTAGCAGGGGGGGAAAAAAAATCAAAGTGATCTTATTAGCATTTCTTTTCAAATTGTGTTTCTAATCATTCTTAACATTTAATACACATGGAGTTTTATTTATTTTATTTTATTTTATTTTATTTACTTATTTATTTATTTTTCAGCAAGGTTTGCACTCAGGGCCTGAACACAGACAAAGCTTTAAAACAACAAAGATGCCCAGGTTCTCATGAAGATATGCTAAATCAAAATCTCTAAAAGGGAGCTAGGTATCAATATTTCAAAAAAGACCCCAGAAAATCAAAATTGAAAACCACTGTGACATAACATATAAATAAAAAACAGTTCTCAAAGTTTTAGGTGCATGAGAGTCACCTCAGGAATTTCTTAAACATGTGGATTCCCAGGACCTATGAAAGTTTCAGAATCAGTAGGTGGCTCATGCCTGTCATCCTAGTTACTCAGGAGGCTGAGACCTCCGAGGTTCTCTCCTGAGGATGGTGGTTCCAGGCAAAAAGTAAGATCCTAGCTCAAAAATACTAAACAACAAAAAAAGGGTTGGTGAAACGGCTCAAGTGGTAGAGCACCTGCTTAGCAACTGTGAAGCCCTGAGTTCAAACTCCTCCAGTACTGTGTCCCCAAAAAAGTTTCAGAAACAGTTGGCCTAGTGTGGACTTACTAATTATCATGTTTAACCAGAATTCCAGGAACCACTAGTGGATATGTCATCGAATCACACTCTGAGCAACATTTGGGAGGGAATGTAAAGAAACCAAAAGAGACAAATAACAGAGGGCTGGATTCAGGCTGTGGCAACCACTGACCTGGGTGATGTTTGTGAAAATCTGCTCAGACATTCTCTCGCACAGAACAGCCAGCAACTGCAAGACCAGCAGCTTTTGCTCTTGGCCTTCCACAAGAAGAGCTTGGTGTTGCTCTAATTCCAAGAGGCTTGTGCTGGAGAAGGGCTTAGGTTTTAAGTCTGCTTCATTTTCCACAGCCAGATGAATCAACTCCTGGAAGCATGGGGGGGGAAGAAAAAGTCAGTAGAACTAAGGGCTTCGAAAACATATCTAGCAAACTCTGTTCAAAAAAAAACATGTAAGAAAACAGTCTTTGTTGCAGCATTACTTATAATAGCCAAAAAACTGGCCAGGTGTGGTGGTGCACACCTATAATCCCAGCACTTGGGAGGCAGGAGGATTGAGTTCCAGGCCAGTTTGGGCTACATAACAAGACCTGTCTTAAAAAACCAAAAACACAAAACAAAAAGGCAAAAAATCAGAGATAACCTATATGCACAGTAATAAGGGAATAAAAAGTGATGTATTTATTGTATCACAGGAGTTAAAATAAATGAACTGGATCTATTTGGATATTAAAACGGATAAGGATTGCATGCATGGCTCAAGCAGTAGTGTCTATCTAGCAAGTACAAGTCCCTGTGTTCAAACCCCAGTACTGAAAAACATAAAATAAAATAAAAATAAAAAAACATAAATTTTTGGGGGGGGATAGAATATCTTTCTTTTTTTTTTAATTTTTATTTTATTCATATGTGCATACAATGTTTGGGTTATTTCTCCACCCTTCCTCCACCCCCACCCTTACCCCCCCCACTCCCTCCCTCATCCCCCCTTATCTCTAATTTAAAACAAAAATTTTTTTAAAACCCACCATATATCTCAAAGACACTGTTAAATGAAAGATGTAAGTTGGAGAATAGTGTGTACGTAATGATACCATGTAGATAAACTTTTAAGATTTCATAATAATAAAAAGCATACTTATAAGGAACAGGTTTGACAGACTTCTTAGTTTATCAGTATTTTCATGATCTTTATTGCTAGCCTTCCTTGAATTAAGCACTCAAGCCACATAACTTTGCCAGTCCTTTTAGAGTCCATTAGATGCCCTTCTTTTAAGATATTTGGAACTAAACTGGGTGCCAGTGGCTCATGCCTGTAATCCTAGCAATCTGAGAGCCTGAGATTGGGAGGATCATGGTTGGAAACCAGCCCAAGCAAATAGTTCATGAGACCTTCAACTCCAAAATAAACAGAGCAAAACAGACTGGAGGGGAGCAAGCTGTAAAGCACCTGGTTTGTAAGCATGAAGCCCTGATTTTAAACCCTATCCCACCAAAAAAAAAAAAAAAAAAAAAAAAAAAAGATATTTGGAAGTAAACTACTAATGAATAATCGCTTATTTTGTAAGCTTTCACCTATCCCCCTACTTTGTAAATTTTCTTGGGAAGGAAAAACCTTAAATTCCCTAACAATTAGTGTTTTACCACAGTAATTGACAGCTTAGAGCAGTGGTGCTCAGCTTAATTTTCCTCCCCAGGGGACATTTTGCAATGTCTGCAGGACATTTTTGGTTGTCATAATTGGGGGGTAACAGAGGCACTTACTTAGTGGTAGAGGTCAGGGATACTGCTAAATATCCTATAATGAACAAGACAACCCCCACAAAAAAATTTATCTGTGACAAAATGCCAATCATGCCAAGGTGGAGTTACCCTGGTTTAGAGTAAAGCTTTTTGATTTTTTTTTTTTTTTTTTTGACATAGGGTCTTGCTATGTAGCTTACACTGGCTTGGAACTCTATAACCTAGACTAGCTTTGAATTCAAGTTCCTCCTGCCTCCATCCCCAGAGTGCTAGGATTACAGAGTGCTGGGTATGCACCACCATGCCTGACTGATATGTCTTTTTTTAAACTATTTTTTTTAAAGCAATATAAATAAGGACATATCTCCTTAAAATGTACTCAGAATGAGTGGCTAGGCTTTGGGATGGAAGTGAACATGGGAGGTAAGAAAGCAATTAAAAAAAAAAGTGTTGCCTACTTGAAATTCTAGAAATGTTAGCCTTAATTCCCTCCTTGAATTCTCACCTACCCACCCAACCTAAATTCCACAGACATTCTCTTCAGTTAGACACTGTCATCAGGGGAAAAAGTAGAGAAGGCAGAGCTTGAGGTCACCAGCTGATGCTATCAGATGGTCATAAGATGATGGGCAAGTGACTACTGGAGATCAGTGGGGAAAAAAACACAACCACTGAACAAAGAAACAAACCTGGAAAGGCTTCAAGTGGCTATGGAGTGAAGGAGGGAGGCAGAATTGCCAAATCTCCTTCCAAATACCTGACAGAACAACAGTCAGAAGGATAAGGGATTATGCTATAACTGTAAAACCTGCTATTAACTTCAAGAGTTCTTACTGTAAATACAGAGCAAAGATTAACCCTTTCATAGATGGGTAATTCTATTTTGTTTATCTCTAACATTTCAGATTACCTTGGAAAGTAGTTAGATCCCATCAGTACCACTGCAGGTAAATTTCTTCTTTTTATTGACCCAAAAACTTCCAAAAAAATTAATTACCCTTATGTCCTTTGCTCATTTTCCCCTAATTGGGACTTCGATTTTAGAACCTGGAATCATGAATACCTTGAAAATTGAAATGTCAAGGAACTACCTAAGAATAAAGCTGACCAAGATCTGTATTGAGTTCTTACCTTCAAACAAAAGATGAAGAAGTCTCCTGCCAAACCACACTCCTGGCAATGGGATAGCAGGTCTCCAAGATGCTCCACTTGACTCTGTTCCAAGGACACCTTCTGGTACAGGGCTTCATCCTCATCCTCAACACTGCAACACAGGATAAGATTTATCTTGGCAGTGTCACCCAGAGATAATGTTTTTGAAACCCTGTAGTAACAGTCTAAAGTAACATGCTATCTCAATAGTTAATCATTAGAGAGACTGCAAAAAATTTTGTTTAACCTATTTTCTTATTTCTCCATGCTGAAGAACTTAAAGTATTTATTCTCAGAAACTTAGCTGTTAGGTCCTGCATGGTCATTTGCTCAAACAGGAAAAGAGTCATAAAGGAAGTGGCTTTTAAAATGGCTGTTGAAGAATTACTATTATTTCATAAATTACAAAAGCAAGAAGAAATCAAAGTTGTATTTAAATATTCTGGTTCCTGAGGAAGAACAGAGATAGCGAAGGCTGCAAATAACATCCAAAGGAATTTTGAGCTGGGTGCCAGTGGTTCACATCTTTGATCCTAGCTACTTGGGAGGCTGATACCAGGAGGATTTCAATATAACCTGGGCAAATAGTTTGAGAGGCCCCATCTCCAAAATAACAAGAGCAAAATGGGTTAGAGGTGTGGCTCAAGCAATAGAGAGCTTGCTTTGCAAGTGCAAAACTCTAAGTTCAAACCCCAGTTCCACCTAAAAAACAAAAAGGAATTTTGATGGTTTTCTGATGAGCCACTAAAGAGTTATGGATAGTGGAAAAAGACACAATCATTATGGGAAGAGATGCAATCAGTCTCATCACATATGAACTGATTAGTTGAGAGAAGGAAATATATGAAAGTTAGCCAGGTATAGTAGTATATAGCTATAATCCCAGCACTTGGGAGATGAACCAGAGTTCAAGGTCAACCTGAGATACATAAGGAGATCCTGTTGGTCCAAGGCAGCCTCAGCAAAAAGTGAGACCCTGACCAGAGCAAAAAGGGCTGGTGGCATGGCTCAAGCAGTAGAATTCCTGCCTAACGAGTATGAAGCTCTGTGTTCAAACCCAGTACCACCAAAAAGAAAAGAAAAGAGAGAGAGAGAGAGAGAGAGAGAAGATTCACTTAAAAAAAAAAAAACTAAAATAATGTAAACAGTAACAGAACAGTGGAGAGAAGTTTTTTCCCCCTCTTTATGTGTTTTTGTATTATACAAAAAATGTGTTATTTTTGTGATCAAACAATGAGCATATCTTTTTTTTCAAACTAACCAGAAAAAAATGACAGATGCTGCTTCATTTCCCTGAGAAGTACAATTACTAAAGTTAATTTGGCAGACCATCTCCTTGGGCAGGTTGTCCCTACTTGCCAGTTCACGAGTAAGATTGGCCTTCATACTCTACTAGCAGAATGAATAACCTACACATTTATCTTGGGATTATTACTGTATTATTCCAGAACTTTCAGAGTCTTTCTCTACCACATTTTATGCTAGAAGAAAAGCTGAAATGGATAAACATCACTTCTCAGCTTCTATGAACCATCGAAAAAAAAAAACCTTATTATTGAGGCTGGAGGTGTGGCTAAGTGGTAAAGAGCCTGCAAAAAGAAGTATTATGTTCAAATATTCTTAAGAAGATATGACAATTGGCTTAAGAAGCACTATTTTATTCACTCTTAAAATTTCATCAATGAAGAACCAATTTAAGATAACTGGATTTAGTTACAGTTCCAGAAAAGTAAAAATTCTGGATCCAAAGAATGTGAAATCTAAGCTGCCCATATAGTTTCTTTAAATAAACTTCTCACTGATAACTTCTGCCAGGTGAATAGCAGACTAAAGTTTGTGGTAATATGGACCAAGGTTCCTGACCCTGTCCTTGGGAAACTAGCATCACATCCTGAGCAGGACCTTGAGAGCAAGTAACAAATCTCAATCTCAATCTCTCTCTCTCCTCTTTGGTATAATGGTTGTCAACATTTTGCAAATGCAGACTTTTAAGTATCTAAAGAAAGCTCTGGATCCTATTTTCAGAAAAAAAAAAAACTTGTTTTTTGTGTGTATAACTTCAAGAGGATTATAGGCCCCTAGAAACCAATGCAGAGACCCCCAGGTTTAGGAGCTTTTACTTCTGGCAGTGGATGGACAGTCATTCAATCACTGCCCATGAATGTTTTTTTTCCTACTATGAAGAGAAACTATAATTTAAATAAGAACTGTGGGTTTTGACATATGTGCACTTAAGAATACTAAACACAAGTTAAGAAGGAGTAAGTTACAACTGCTAAGCTAAATACTGTAAAATTCTCTATACCATCACTAATCTGGTCCCAGGTCAAAATAGTTTCAAAGTGTTTTTTAAATAAACATGACAAATAACTTGAAACTCTTTCAGTTTATGGGCAAAATTGTAACCACAAGTCTACTAATGTTCAACAACTCTCAGTAAATTAGAAGCTTTAGTTTGTTCTGATAATTCTGTTTGAGATCTATGTGTTTTTCTATTTTCCTTAATATTGAGAGTATGTTTTAAAGCATTACCAAATTAATCATGAATATAAAATTAAGTTCAAACACTTCAACAAACAGCAGCACTTCGCATGTGACGTGCAATCCAATAGAATAGCTAGGCTAGCTAAATACTACATGGTGCCGAGTGCTGGTGGCTCACACCTGTAATCATAGCTACTCATGAGGCAGAGATCAGGAGGATTGTGGTTCGAAGCCAGTTTGAAGCCAGCCTGAGGGAACAGTTTGAGAGACCCTGTCTCTATCTTGAAAAAACCCTTCACAGAAGGGCTGGTGGAGTAGCTCAAGGTGTAGACCCTGAGTTCAAACCCCAGAACTGCAAAAAAAAAAATACTGTACGGTTTATGACCAACAGGAACTTGAATTCTAAGGTACTAATATACTCCATAGGTCATCTAGAAAAGTGAAAATAAAATATAAGGATTTTACATACAGTGTATAAAATATATTTTTAGATGTTATTCAAAGGAATTTTAAAATTTAAAATATATACTTGTGGGGCTGGGGTGTAGCCCAATGGTAAAGCATTTGCCTAGCATGTATGAGGCCCTGGGTTCATTCCCCAGCACCACAGAAAATAAAATTAAGTAAAATATTTGTGAGATGATGAGAAATAAATTATCCATTCTACTAATATTTACTAAGTTCTTCCTAACCAATTCCTCTGAGAAACAAACCTCTATCATAAAGTTACCATAAAAATAGCTGTCAGAAAATTTCCCTTAAGAACTGCCTGCTTGTGAACACACACACACACCATTTTGGAAGTCAGAAATAGAACTGGATTATTCTGGTGTTAAGGGTGAGCATGTGCTGCCCTTTACTCTGACTCACTGGCAAAGACTCTGAGAAGTAAGTGGGTTTGTGATGCAGAGCTGTGAGACTCCAGTAAACTGTGCCTCTTATTAGCTGGCATCTTGGAGAAAACCTGGAAGAGATTATAAATAGCAAGCACTTCAGCTACTTGAGTCTCTGGTTTCTTTTCTATTAGTGCCCCTTAGTGGCTGAGTCACAGAATGGCCTTTTGGGGTAAAATTAAATCTGGAGAGATAGCAGAGGAGGATGGGTGAACTCACTTAGTGGCTTCTTTGATGGCAATCATAATGCCACCTTGGGTAGCAGCTCTGAACTGGCACTGAGGATGGAGAGAGGGCACAGTTTTGTCCAATCCTGCGAATCCTTCCAGGCTGGCAATTGCCTTCTTCCTTTCCAGCTTCCCCAGGATCCATAATAAGATCTCTTGGCAAAATGACCTGGCATAAAAAGCAGCTATGAAAGAGCTTGTCATCTTACACTATGCATCTAACAAGCTAACATAAAAAAGGAAAGAAAGACTGTCAGGTTCCACTGTATTCTAAATGCTGGCACAATCACCTAGTACTACTGAAATGCAGGAAAGTCTGCATCTTATGAATTCCAGAATGCAAATGTCCTGAAATTCAATGAATGACTGACTAAACCTTGGCTCTAGGAACAGCCCTGATATGCCACATGAGCTCCATGTGAGTGTGTGAGAGTGTGTGTCTGTGTGTGTGTGTGTATGTGTGCCTGTTGGGGGTGGGGGCGCGGAATTTTAAGTGTACTATGGCCTTTGGATCAGGTGCTGTGAATGAAAACTTACATTGATAAAAACCATCCACTCGCAATAGGTCCTTCAGCTGGTAGGCCAAGAAACACCATACTAACAAAATATTGTTGATTCCGCCAGGTGCTGGTGGCTCAGGCCTATAATCGTAGCTACTCAGGAGGCAGAGATCAGGAGGATACTGGTTCAAAGCCAGCTGGGGCAAATAGTTTGCAAGACCCTATCTCAAAAATACCCAACACAAAAAAGGACTGGCTGAGGGGCTCAAGTAGTAGAGAGCCTGCCTAGCAAGCGTGAGACCCTTGAGTCCAAACCCCAGTGGCACCAAAATAAATAAGTAAGTAAATAAATAAATAAATATATATATATACACCTGATTTCTCATCTCCTTTTTATCTCTGCCAATCAACTTGGAGAGGAATGGAATAAATGTTCAGATTGTTCTTAGTCTTTGATGAGGACGTATAGTGCTATGAGGATTTGGGTTTTAAAACTAAAACAAGTTATTATATGGACAATCCTCTGAAGTCAAATTCACACACTTGGAGCCTCCATGTCCTACTGCATTCTTTCTTGTCACTATGGCTGTAGGCTACAAGGATGTGCTAACTAAATGCCGAAAAGCCAAAGGCAGTATGTGAGCTCTAAATAACATGCAGGACTGACAGGACTGAGTATCTCCTTCACCATTTAGCAACCAAACTAAGGAGTGCCACCATTTGTGCTGACTTTTTCATGGGACTGGGCTAGACACCTAATGAACATTTAGTGTCATAGTTACCCTGTGGAGACACACTGTCATTGCACATGAAATCACACGTGGGAGACACCAAGATTGAGTTTTATCAGACTTTAGAAAGAATATAAATCGTACCAGGAGGAAGAAACAACTTATTTCCACAAATGATTGTGAAAACATAGCTAGCACAAATTGAGTCCTACTTCTGGATAACTGAGAAATTCCTTCTTTCTAAATAACACTGCATCACTAATCTCAAATCCCAGGCTAACTTACAATGTGCTACTTTCACATCCAGTTTTTAAACTTGTTTTCCAACTCTCCACAAGCTCATTGCAATCTATCCCCTATTTCCTCCTTCCTAGACATGTAATTGCAGCAATTTTCACTGATCAAACAGTAACTGTTTATACATGGAAACAGATTTTGCCTCTGATGTCTAGGACAGAGGCTAAGGAAAGTCAGTCTAAAAACTATATTCAATCCCCTTTGATCTGCAAAATTCTTCTTATTCTAGAAAAGCTGTATAAGAGGATCCCCAAACACTTTCCTGACTTTGAAAGGAAATAACAAAGTAGTCTAAATGAAGACTTCACTATTTATAAACAAGTAAGATTCTATTTATAAGCAAACAAGGCTCTTGCATACCTTAGGTGAGACACACTCTGCTTGGTAAAACAGTAGAGAGAAAACAGCACTCTCAGGACTGGAATCAGGGAATCCAACAACACTGTGAGAGGTTCATTCCCCACCACGTACACCTACAGAAAAGACACGATGAGTTGTACCATGATGTACCATGGCTGCCAGGCCAGAGCAATGGGAATCAAACACCAGACACTTAGCAGGGCTTTGAGTATTATCTTAGTAACACTCTCTTCCTAAGGGACAAATGATATTTTAGCTCTAAGGGAGTGCTCAATGTAATGATGAAGCCATTTGAGAATGGCAGATAGGCTGAAAGGGGCTGAAGCAAGGACACCAAAGAACTGCCCAGCAAAATGGATAAATTAACTTGTTTTCTGATCTCTTCCTTTCTAATTTTGGCTCCTCCGAGTCTCCTGCCTATTATTTATCTGAACAATAATTGTTCTATTGCTGAAGGCCTGCTATTAAGAATTACCACCAAATAGAAAAAATAAGAGTCTGATTTGAGGGGCTGGGTATTGTAGTTCAGTGGTAAAGTCTGTGCTTACCTGGGGTTCAATGCCCAGCACCAGAAAACAATAGCAAAATAAAAAACCAAAAAAAACCCAGCCTAGATTTGAAATGAAACATATTTCACTCTAGATTCATCTCTCTTAAGATGTAACTGCCATGTAGGCAGGTCCTATTCTCTCCAGCGCAAGAAAGGTTCAAAGAAAATGCCCTAGCTTTCCACAGTTAAATGTGTGAGAATGCTGAATTTTATAAGCAATAATTATGCTACATATTTTAGTTGTACCTTTCAAAAGGCTAGCACAAATGCATTCAATTCAACAAACTTTTACTGAGCACCCACTGGGTTCAAAGCACTGTCCCAGGTACTGTAGTGAATATAAAAACGAATAAGCCTCATTATCTCTTGGATTGCTTGTAATGTAGCAGGAAGAATAAAACCAGTAAATCAATTATAATAATTTAAGGCAGATAATTTGAAGTGTCTAAAAGAAGTGCAAAATGTTATTCAAAACTCCATCAAACACAATAGGATTTCAAATTTTAATTCTGTTTATATTAAATTAATTAAAATCTGGTAGTGTGGCCAAGAATAATGATGATAAAAGGAGAAAGAAGAACTGACAATGACTATGTTCTCTGTATATGTTCCAGGGACTATGGTAGTTTATTTCATTTTATTTATTTTTTTCTTATTTTTCAGGTACTATGCGAGATTCTTTAAAGAGTTAGCTCATTAAAATTACAACAATCTTCCAAAGTCAATTTTAGCAACCCTATTTAAAGACAAGGAAAGGGAAGCTCAAAAATACCCTTATTTATAGAAAGAGTCCTATGGTAGCAACTGATGCTGTTTATGGAGAACAAAAGGTCATGGAGGCACTGGTACAGGCTGCAAAAATCTCTGTGCTTTCCAGCAAATCCTGTCCCTTTAAATCAACCCTAATTTTTCACGCTCCTTAAGCCTCCTGACTCCTCTGTGGAGCCTGATAACCAAAGAGCCAGCTTCCTGTGCATGATCTAATCTCCATAAGCCCAACTAAATGAAGTGCCTTGTAAGGCAGTGTTCAGATGTAATATGCAAGCCTAATTATGGTATCACCAATTACAGGAGGTAAAAGAAGAGATTCCCCCAGATAACGTAAGGGCCTATTGTTTGGCTTGGATCCTGTGTTCTCTGAGGTAATCCCTGTGGAGCCATCCTTCTTTACCAGCATATTTTGCTTAAAAAAACAAAAAACAGGCAGATGAATCTCCACTGTTTACAGGTTTGGCAGGGCTGAAGCACCTAAACATGAACTCAATCAAGCACAGTTCTTGAAAGCCCATGCTGTTGTTGATAAATTCCTCCAAGTTTTTATTTTCCTCTTTCAAACTTTTCCAAATTTTCTAATAGAAAACTTTTATTTTACACTTATGAAAAAAATGCAAATGTTATACACACATAATATTTGTTTATTTGAATTTTTAAATTTTTTTTGGCAACATTGGTTTGAACTCAGGGCCTCACACTTGCTAGGCAGGTGCTCTACCACTTGAGCCACTAAACCAGCCCCATACTATTTATTTTTATGTAAAGATCATCAAATATCTACTGAGTGCCAGTGGTATCCAAGGCATACTGGCAAGTACTGTGGAAACAGTGCTGAGCAAAGTCTCTGCTTAAAAGGAGCTGACATTCTAGTGGAGAATAGAGACAATAAATAATCACTTGATAACAACAGATAGAGACAAGTGCTGTAAAAAAAAAATAAGGTCAGGTATGGTGTTACATACTTATAATCCCAGCACTGAGGCTAAGGTAGGAAGATCATGAGTTCAAGATCAGTCTAGACTACACATCGAGACCCTGTTTCAGAATACCCCAAATGAGCCAGGTGCTGGTAGCTCACACACATAATCCTAGTTACTCAGAAGGCAGAGATTAGGAGAATAACATTTTGAGGCCAGGCAGGGCAAACACAAAAAAGGGCTGGTTGAGTGGTTCAAGGTGTAGGCCCAGTACCCAAAGAATAAAATAAATAAAAACAGGTTAAAGGGATAGTGATGAGGGGAAAAGCAGGTACGAAGAGAAAAAGAACAATTGAGAATAGCCCTCTGCCTGGCAAGAGTGAGTTCAGACACCAGTACTACCAAAAAAAGAGAAAGAATATTCTTTATCATTCCTATCAATTAACCAATTATTAGCTCTCAATACATTTCTGAGGCTGGCCTTTAATTTACAATGCTCCTGCCTCAGGCTGGGATTACAGGCATGCATCAACACACCCAACTTGTTATTACTTTTACCTCCTCTGTGCTTAGTGATATTTTCGTTGCTTCCATCTTTAACCCATGCTATCTTTATCCCAGTTGTCCCATCCTCATAATCAATCAATCCCATTTTATCAGGCTGTTCCTAACCCTCACCCTACAACTTCTGCAAGGCAGAGCTAAAGCCCCCAAGTGGCACCATGAACAGCAGCTTACATAACCTCCTCCCCTTCCTCCTACTGAGAGGCTTCTTATATTCTTCAGTAGGCCTCCAGGGCCATGACTTGGCCAGCCCTCTCTAAGGACAGCCTCTTCTTTCCAATTTCTTGCACACAGCTGAACTCACAAGCAGATTAAAAGTTACTCTGCACCTGGCATCCAACATTACTCTCTATTTCCACTCCCAAGTGGAGTCCAGTTACTTTATGTGGATACTCTTGATCTGGGTTTAGTAACCTACTCAGGGACATGGGTGGCTAGACTGATTAGTCAATGCTGTACCATGATCTCTTGGTGCCAGCACTGACTGACCAAATACCCTAGAAAGGAAAAAGTAGTAATCCTTCCTATGAAGTCATGCAACATATGAGAGAAAATGCTGGGGTTAATTCTTTCCAATCTCCCCCACATTAGGCTGATGACTTACTGACTAAAGAAACAGTGAAGGCACTGAAGAACTGAAGGACAGACTTCGGGAAGTCCCAAAAGGGCGATAAGTGGTCAAGGAGACACTTCTCCTCCCTAAGAAATGCCTGTTTGCATTTGAAAGGCATCTCCACCCTCAGGCAATGCAAACTAGGCTATAAAACCCACTCCCCACCCTGACCCACGGGATCACCGGTTGCCGGGTCCCCCTGCATTCTCCAATATGCAGTCTTTCTCTTCTCTTTTCTCCAACTAAATTCTCTGCAAATAAAATCTTTCCGACCTCTGCTGTTGGAGTCTGCCTGTGCTTTCATTCTCAGAGCAGGCTCAAGAACCCTGAGCATCTGAAATTCCTGCGCGTGTCATCTGTGCATCAGCACAGTAGGTAAGATGTTCCTGTCCCACTCGCGTATGGGACCTTACTGCCTCCTCTGGCCACTGCGGAATTTCTCTGCGCTGTGCTACGTACAGTCTCTTTCTAGTGTATGAAGAGTGGGGAGAGTCGTCCTTGCCCCCGGAGTCAAAGAGGGATCGGCACTCAAGCTCCGAAACACAACCCAGTATCTCAAGTATTATTTCTACTTATGGTGGCAACGTTCTAAGAAGCATTTCATTGGAGGGTTTCTTTTTTAATGGTAAGACTGTTTAGTATGTCACCCCTGGGGTTATTTACAAATCTTCCACTAACCAGCTGTGTGACTTAACACCAATCAATTGACTTCTCTGAGTTTCGGTATCCTTGTCTGTAAGATGAGGGGGGATGGATCAATCAAGGTTTAAGGCCTCCTTTGTGTCTAATCATTCTCTGACCAGACTGCAAATGTGCTAATTTTCTTTATATCCTTTTGGTACTTCAGTGTTAAGAGGTAAGACTAGTTTAAAAAAAAAAAAAAAAAAAAAAAAGAACCATCTCTCCCAATAAAACTGAAATATCTAATCCTTCAACTTGACCAAGATGTAACAATTATCAACACCTGATTTCTGTTCTTCTCTCAGTTCTGAAGTCAGTACTTTAAAGATGGGATCCTATTTAGCTGAAAGGTTTTCTGGTTATTCAAGACATTTATACAACTAGGGATCATCAAACAAAATACTAAGAGATGAGAAAGCTGAAGCAGAGAAGGGAGAGGCAGACTCTGAAGGTAGCTTTTCAATTGTTTGGGTAGAAAAAGTCTTGCAGAGGGAAAGTGAAAGGTGGCTTCAAAGGAAAGGTGAACTTCTCCCTCAGTCTGTGGTTCTTTTAGTATAAACATGTAGGAAGAGCTGAGGGTCAAAACAAGAGGCCAGAATGATCTGTGAGAGCTACAATGGCTCAGAGCAGATTATACAAGGATGCAGACTAGGATTTCTTTGTTCATTTGGGGTACTTCTACGTTCCTTTCTGACAACACCCTGGCTTTTGTTCACAGATCCATGGTCAGGAGATGAGCACCTATGCTTAAATCTTAAGTGCCTTCATCTAAATGCAGAATAGTTAGCCATTTATTCTCTCAAAAATTCTATTTTTGTGGGGAAGTTACAATGCTCTATGCATTTTCTTTGTTTTTTTTCAAAGCCGTGTGTCAATGCCAAATTAACTGAACATAATCAGAACTTGCCATGGAAAGGGAAGCAGACTGAACAAAAGGAAGCTGGATTTTATATTGGCTGGTTTGTCTATATTTAATACCTAGAGGATGGAATTTCTCTGGAAGGATTTTATTAG